GGGAAAACGGACTCGGGGGTTGGTAGATATTTGGACACGGGTTATCGGGGGCTTCTGCACTGCAGAGCAGCGTAGGTCGCGGTAGTGCTTTCGTCTAGAAGGTCCTTCTTTGCTCTCACTGTGACATTTGTCACATCTGACAGTACCGTCGGTGCTTCTCTTCTCTCGCACTCTTCTGCGCATCTTCTCTCTCTACCGGTAACGCTGCTCTGCTGCTTGTCATGGAGTCCCCACTTAGCCTCCCGTGTCCGGCGTTCGAGGGTTTTGAGAAACGCCTCGACGTGGAGTTCATCTGGAAGAAGGCCATTCTGCCTGAGCTCAAGTGCAAGGGTCTGCGTTCCGCCTCTCGCGCGGCTCTCGACGCCATGCTCGACGACGCTCAGTGCACCATTGTGTCGAAGATGTCCAACGAGTATCTGGACGCGTATGTTCTCTCCGAGTCGAGCCTCTTCATCTTCCCGACTCGCGCTGTTATCAAGACCTGCGGGACTACCCGCCTGCTCAACGCTATCCCGAAGCTGCTGAAGATTGCTGACGAGGCCGGGCTCGAGCCCGCTCGCTGCCGGTACTCCCGAGGAACGTTCTTGTTCCCGGAGGCGCAGCCGTCCCCACACAGGAGCTTCGACGAGGAGGTTGCGGTGCTCGACGGTTACTTCGGCGGGCTCAAGCACCGCCGCGCGCACGTCATGGGTGACGTGCTCGGAAGCAGGAAGTGGCACGTGTACGTGGCTGGGGAGCTGCCCGCTGCTGTGATTCCCGCAGCTGCTGGCGCTGGTGCGGTTGCTGCAGGTTCGGCTGGTGGTTCGGTCGTGACCGTCGAGGTCTGCATGACCGACCTGGGGCGTGCGGCGACCAAGTATTTCTTCAAGAGCAACGGCTACGGCGATGCGGCGGACGTGACGGCGCAGTCCGGGATCGGCGATCTCGTTCCGCACTCGCGCATCGACGACTTCAACTTCGACCCGTGCGGCTACTCGATGAACGGCCTGGATGGCGAGGTCATATCGACGGTGCACATCACTCCCGAGGACGGGTTCAGCTATGCGAGCTTCGAGGTGATGGGATCCGTGGGTGTCGGCGCGAAGGGGCCTCTCTGGCAGGCGACTGGCGGCGATCTCGGCGAGCTCGTCGCTAAGACGGCTCGCACCTTTCTGCCTGGTCGCTTGACCGTCGCGGTGCACTCCAGCGAGGTCGCTGCTGAAGGCGTGGTCGGAGGCAAGGCGTGGACCAATCTTAGTGCGCCACGTGGGTACGCCTGCGCCGGGTCGAGCTGCCACATGCTCCCCGGTGGCGCTGCCGTGTCGTACGTGTGCTTCGACTCCCTCGAGGTTGCCGGGTGCGGCGGCTCTCTCCGCGGCGACATGCTGCTTGGCAATCTCCTTCCTTCGTTCGACTCTTTCAGGTCCGACTCGTCTCTTAGCTCCTCCGATGACGTCATTGTCCTGGAGGAGCCTTTGGAAGAGAAGGTGTCGCCGCTTGTTCTTACTCGTGCTGTCTCCGCCGCTGTCGCCGAGACGGAGAAGCTGTACGGCGCCAAGGCCGCCGCCGTCGTTGCCGATCTCGCGCCTTCTCTCATCGGCGCGTCTCCCGCCGCGATCGACGCTCACATCCGCGCGTGCGTGACCGACGGCCTGGACTCCGCCTTCTACTTGATGGACGCCGGCGTCGCGCTTCAGCTGCACGCCACGTGGACGCAGCTGCTGCCACGTGTGCACCCCTTCTACGCCGTCAAGTGCAACCCCGACCCGGCGCTCCTCTCCCTGCTCGCATCCGTCGGCGCTGGCTTCGACGTCGCCAGCAAAGCCGAGATGGAAATGGTCGCCGCGGCATGCGGCGGGTCCCTCCCGGATCCGTCGCGCATTATCTACGCCAACCCCTGCAAGCTCCCCGCGCACATCCGCTTCGCGGCGGCGGCCGGCGTGAACATGACGACGTTCGACTCGGTCACGGAGCTGCAGAAGCTGCGCCGCTGGAACCCGTCCGCGCAGGCGGTGCTGCGCGTGCGCGTGGACGACCCGGGCGCGCGCTGCCCCATGGGGGTGAAGTACGGCGCGGAGGCGGAGGAGTGCCCGGAGCTGCTGGTGGCGGCGCAGGAGCTGGGCGTGGAGGTGGTGGGCGTGGCGTTTCACGTGGGCAGTGGGGCCAAGGATCCGCGCATCTTTGGAGACGCGATCGCACTCGCGAGGGACATTTTCAACGTGGCGGAGCAGCTGGGCATGGCGCCGCTGTCGCTGCTGGACATCGGAGGAGGCTTCACATATGACGGGCTGCAGGATGATGACTACGCGAGCAGCGCTGCTGCGGAGGATGGTGCTGCTGATGGCGAAATGTCGTTTCTAAAGGCGTGCTACTCTGTGAACGTGGCTCTCGCCAAGTATTTCCCAGAGGAGATGGGCGTGCGTGTTATTGCTGAGCCTGGGCGCTTCTTCGCTGAAGCTCCCTTCACACTTGCTGCCAAGGTCTTTGGCGTGCGTTCTCGCAACACCACTGCCAACAAGGCGGCTGCTCTCGCTGCCCTCACCAAGCACGCGTCAAGCTCCTCGTCCGCGGGTAATGCGTCTGCTGCTGCAGGGAAGGGCGCGGTGATGGAGTATTGGATTGATGATGGCATCTATGGTTCCATGAACTGCCTGCTGTACGACCATGCGGTTATTTCTGCTCGTCCTGTCAAGATGGCTGCGGATGGGCAGGAGTCGGCTGAGGAGGGGCAGCTGTGCCGCTCGACGGTGTTTGGGCCGACGTGTGATGGCTTGGACACGATTCTGAGGGATGTGTGGCTGCCGCGCCTCGACCTGGATGACTGGCTGGTGAGCTTACATGGTTCCAAGCCCTGGCTGGATGTTTTTTGGGACATGGCCTTCATTATGGTTTCCATGGTTCTGGGATTCTGCCCTTGTTTATCTGACTTTCCAGTTCGTTGTCTGCTGCTGATGTGTTCATAATTTCCTCTCTTCTTGCAGGTGTTCTCCAAGATGGGTGCATACACCCAAGCAGCTGGGTCCAGCTTCAATGGCTTTGCAACATCTGATATCGGGACAGTCCGCGTCTTCTCCTCGGCCTTCCCTGAGGGCCTTGCTGAGGCTGCCGCACGCCTGCACGACCGTGTGGCCGATGCCCTGGCCTCCTCTGACAGCGATGCTGCCAGCTCCTTCTCTGGCAGCGATGAAGAGGAGGGTAGAGATTGGGACAGCAGCTAGTTGCTTGGCTTGCTTGCTGAGCGTGGACCTTTGCTGACACAATCTGGTTTCTTGTTTTTATTGCTTGAACCATGCGATGCACTTTTGGATGTGCTGCTGCAACTGTGGCAGCTTGATCCTCTTCTTTGGTGTGCTGCTGGTGTGAGTGTGGTGCATGCAATCTCATTATGCATTTTCTGTCTTCTAGTTGAATATTGCTCGTATGTAAACAAGAGATAAGCTCATACGCTATTGCATCCTATCCCTGCTTGCAGAGGGTAATAGTGACTGAAGTGACTGAATAAAGCTCCCCAATCTCTCACAACCATTCTAATCGCAAATAGATATGGCTGAATACATAGCTTAATCTCTCCCGACCATTCTAATCGCAAATAGACCGCTTCATACCGTACCGAAGCAATGTCATCCCCAGTTGTAATCCTGAAGCTGAATCTCAACCGCCATTGAAAACGGCGGCGGCGCGGCGAACCAACCAGCAAAACAGCTTTCCATTTCACCCAATTTCAAGGTTCCAAACCAAACCCGGCATGGTGAAATACAGGCATGGCGGGCGACAAACCTGTGGTGTGGAACTCGTACTACCATGGCGACTGCGACTGGCATCTCCCAAAGATTCGTCGCAACACATCCTACTTTAGGATTTCGAAATTTATGTTACACATTTCGCAGAAGCGATGTCATACGGGACGACTCAATTCCCTCCAGCAAGGTCCAGCTCATGGCATCGCATCCTTCTTGTTGCCTTCCTGATCGGTAGACCACATGTTTGAGTCGCCTCGTCGCACATGTCGCACGCGTTCGTACGATTCGCACTCAACCGCACAGCATAGCACGAACAAGCACGGCAACCACCATCCCCCGGGTTCCCACCCCACTAGACTTGACTGTCCAGATCAATCGCACTCCACCATCCCAACTGGATATATGCAGGCTACCTACCGACCTCTCGCGCCGCGTTCAAACCGCCGCCGCTCTCAAACCACGGACTCGTTTGTTGCTGTTGTCGGCTCTGGGTTATGAACTGAGGCTACTACGAGGGAGATCATTCGTCGAGTCAACTGTCGAAACGATCGCCATTTCAGCCAGCCAGCGAGTGTGATGCTCAGTGCAAACACGACATGAATGAGAGGTTCCACGGCGGATCGCCCGTTTTCATCCTCATAGTCCTACTATAGATCTTACTACCTGTTGCGCCCCGCTGACACAGAATTTGCGGGCGACACGAGCAAGCTGCTGCAGCCCTGGCGGCCGTTGAGTGGTTCCAGAACTCGCTGCGCGCTGCCGCGGCGTCGCGAATCCCGGCAGATAGGGAAAAACAACCGGATTGGAAACGCGAACGTTGGTTTGATCTGGGTGGCGATCTGCGAGGATCCGATCCAATGAACGCCGTGGATCTGTGATCGCGAAGTCATCCCACCGCCGTGGATCTGTGATCGCCGTGGTTTACAAAACCGACTAGCACAATTGTCAGAGGCATCAGAGCTTCTGTGATAGAACGACGCGATTAGTACGCGCTGATCGGCATTATTCCAGAGCGATTAGAGGCGTATTGCTAGTAGAACCGCTGGTAGCGGTGGCGGGACTACTGCCGTGACCTTTCAGTCGACTCAAAATTCGCCTCGAGCAACGCCGCGAGTACGAGTGCACACTGATCGAATTTATGCTACTAGAACCACTGCGGCAGTGAGTCGTCTGGCGACGTCGTGGGCGACGGCGACGACAGCTGCGAAGTCGAAGGCGGCGACGACGGCGATGAGGATGAGCAGGGCGACGACGAATACCAGGAGCTCGATGTATCGTCTCATGCTATGTCTATTCATGCTGTCGCCTCTTCTCTCTCGCTATTCGCCAACAGCAATTGCTCAAACAATCGCGCCAATTTCAGCCGCCCAGACAGTCGGGCCGACTACTGCCGGCCAGACATTCGCGCCGACCACAGCCGCCCAAACTGGAGCAGCTTCCTTTTCGGCTCAAATAAGCGCTTCGGCGGCGCGTCGCGAGATCGAGGCGCGCGACCTTAAGGAGAACGCGCGCGCGAGGAGCATCAGGAATTTCCGACAGTACTTGCTCGCGCTGCTCGCGGGATTCCCGCCGCCGGTGCCGCCGCTGCAAGCGGAGAGGCCGCGGCTGATTTTGCTTCCGGACAACTCGATGGGCGCGAGATGCCTGGACGGCAGGTAGGGGGGAAGGGGGGGAGGGGGAAGGGTGTCAGAGGTCCACTGGTGATCCCCGATTGATCCTAGGGAAGGGTTACAGGCACGTTGGCCTGGGGGGTTATGGGCGCACTCACCTGCTACATAAACAAGCCTTTTTATCCCAGTGGTTAGTGGCTGGGATTCTGACATGGTATCAGAGCGAAGGTCTTGGGTTCGAATCCCGGTGTGTGCACCTCGGGCATCCCAGTGCGGGGGGGTGTCAGAGGTCCACTGGTGATCCCCGATTGATCCTAGGGAAGGGTTACAGGCACGTTGGCCTGGGGGGTTATGGGCGCACTCACCCGCTACATAAACAAGCCCTTTTATCCCAGTGGTTAGTGGCTGGGATTCTGACAAAGGGAAAGGGGGAGGAAGAGGGAAGGGGGGAAGAAGAGGGAAGTGGATAGGGGGAAGGTACCGGGGAAGGGGGAAAGGGGGAAGGTGGAAAGGTGAGGTGGGACGGGAAATTCCTGCGGTGGCGGATGGGAGGGAACAGGAGGGATGGAGAGATACCTGGACGGCAGGTGAGGGGTGGCAGTTGCGGTGCTGGTGGTTGTGGTTAGGTTGCAGCAAGGGAGCGGAGAGGCCGCGGCTGATCTTGCTTCCAGACAACGCAGTGGGGGCGAGAGGCTTCGACCTCAGGTAGGGGGAAGGGGAAGGGAAAGGGGGAAGGCCGAAGGGGGGAACAGAGCGCGGCAACAGCATTGGTGTGGTCATTCTCTCTTCCCCCCTCTTCCCCTCTTTCCCCCCCACTCCTTTTCCCCTCCCCTCCCCACTCTCCCACACACCCTCCCACCTTCTTTACCCCAGCCCCCCAGGGTTTTATTTCCGGGCGGGCACGGGGGCGGGTAAAAACATGTGGCATATTTACTTGCCAGGCGGCGCGTGGTGTGTCTCTGCCGGTGAGTGCGTGGAGAGGAGCAAGACGCGGCTGGGCAGCAGCACGTTCTATCCTGATGACCCAAACAGTGAGGTGAGTTTATGAGGGTATGTGTGTATGAGTGTTTGAGTGCATGTGTGTTTGAGTGCATGTGTGTTTGAGTGTATGCGTGTTTGAGTGTATGCGTGTTTGAGTGTATGCGTGTATGAGTGTATGCGTGTTTGAGGGAAAGCGGGTGTATTCGTGTTTGAGTGTATTCGTGTTTGGGTGTATGCGTGTTTTTTGTGTATGTGTATGCGCACACGAGCGTGCACATGAGTGCGTGGCGAGGAGCAAGATGCGGCTGGGCAGCAGCACGTTCTACCCTGATGACTCTTCAGCAATGTGTGTGCACATGTATGCGTGTGTGAGTACGACTGTATGTGCAGACGCATGTATATGTGCGCGTGTGTGCATGTGGTTACTTGCGTGCATGTACGCGTGTACGCAACGAGCCTGTGCGCATGTGTGCAAACTCGCGTCGCACACTCGCATCGAACACAGAGACACACACATATGCAGCTTTTCTACCTCTCACCTCCCTCTTCGCTCTTCCTCCTTCCCTTTACCCCTTCCCCCCTCTCCCCCTCCCCCTTTCCTGCCTTTCCCCCCTTTCTCCCCTCCTCAGGTCATCCCCCCTTCTTTCACAGGCATTCTCAGCAGCAACAGCAGCATCAACCCGGCCTTTCACAACTGGAACCTCGTCCGTCCCATCTACTGCGACGGAGGGGAGGAGAGCGCGCAGGGACCTTCTCTCCTTACCCACCCTCCCCACCTTCCCCACATCCTCCTTACCCCTTTCACTGTTTCCCTCTCTCTCCCCTTCTCTCCTCAGGTCATCCGCCCTTCTTTCACGGGCATTCTCAGCAGCAACAGCAGCATCAACCCGGCCTTCTACAACTGGAACCTCGTCCGTCCCATCTACTGCGACGGTGGGGGGGGCGCACTTTGAGCATTGTTAGACCTTTAAAGGGATTTAAAAAGGGACATTCTCTCCCTCCCTGCCTTCCCGCTTCCGCTCACGCCCCTTTTTCTTCCCCATACCCACAGGTCATCCGCCCGCCCTTCACGGGCATTCTCAGCAGCAACAGCACCATCGATTCGGCCTTCTACAACTTGAACCTCGTCCGCCCCATCTACTGCGACGGAGGGGGGGGAGATTCTTAGGGGGACCCTCTTTCCGTTCACACATTCCCCCCGTCCCCCTTCCTTCAGGTGATTCGCCCTCCTTTCACGGGCATTCTGAGCAGCAACAGCAGAATCAACCCAGCCTGTCTTTCCCTTCACATACACCATAAAATCACCCTTCCACTTTACTCCCCCTCAGGTCATCCGCCCTTCTTTCACGGGCATTCTCAGCAGCAACAGCAGCATCAACCCGGCCTTTCACAACTGGAACCTCGTCCGTCCCATCTACTGCGACGGTGGGGGGTTTGCTGGGACGACTGGGAGGGTGGAGACGGAGGGGGGGAAGGTGCTATTCCTGGATGGGTGGAAGATCGTTCGAGCTATCTTGGATGGTGAGTGATTGGCAGGAGAAGCGTGAGATAGCACAAGTCAGGGTGGAGGCAGAGGGGGGCAAGGTGCTGTTCCGGGGTGGTGGAAGATCGTTCGAGCTGTCATGGACGGTGCGTGATTGGCAGGAGAAATGAGGTTTGCAATGAGGGAAGGGGGATTCGCAGGGACGACTGGGAGGGTGGAGACGGAGGGAGGCAAGGTGCTGTTCCTGGATGGGTGGAAGATCATACAAGCTATTTTGGATGGTGAGTGGTGTGGTTGTTGTTGTGGTGAAAGATGGTCTACTGCGGTGCTGGAGATTTGCGGGAACACGGAGGGGGGCAAGGTGCTCTTCCTGGATGGGTGGAAGATCGTTCGGGCTGTTTTGGATGGTGAGTGGTGTGGTTGTGGTTGGCACAAGGGGAGTGGTTGGCACAAAGGGAGTGGTTTCATGTTTTTTAGATGAGTTTAGGGCGTGTTACATTTTTTTTTTTTTTTTCATCCAGACGGCCCACTGTCCGGACGACTATGTGGTTACTAAGATCGTTCAATTTCGACAGAAAGTTCGTCAGAATCGAAACGACGTCGTAAGCTTCGTCTGGCTTACGACATCGCATTGGTCGCAACGCGACCGCGCGACGTCGCAATCTTCGCACGCGTCCGGACAACCGTCCGGACTTTCGGCGATTTTGAAAAATGTAACACGCCCTTACAATGTAGGTGTTATGAATGAACTTGCAGAGTGCGCAGTAAAACGAATAACGAGAATACTGAACTACAGAATGACGATACAAGGAAGTGACGGGAATTTATAAGGGGAATCCTAGCTAGGCGAAGGGGTCGGGCTAGGATGGCTCGGAAAGTGTTGCGATTGGAGCGGTGGCGACTCGGAAGTGGTTCGGGGCGGAAATGTAGGCCGAACCGGGCTGACGCGTGGTGTTCGGATTGTACTCGCTAAAATGCGAGTACAGTAAGGAATTGTAATTCCTTACACAATGCTTCATGTGTGCCCCTTGTCTCCATTATTCCCCCTTCCATCCCCAATGCAATCAGATTTGAAATCATATCGCGGGTTCAAATCGGCAGCGCAGATTCTCCTGTCGGGCAGCTCAGCGGGCGGCCAAGCAGTCGTTTCTCTCTGCGATCGCATCGCTGCTGCCTTCCCCTGGGCGGCAACCAAATGCGTCTCCGACTCGGGCTTCTTCATTGGTAAGAGCTTTGAAGAAAGGAATTTATCCACACTGCACCGCACCGCACTGCACTGCACTTCACCACAGATCAATGTCGGTCATGTCATGTGTACCTCTTATCAACCCCCATCACTCCGCAAAATTATTGCTCTATCAGACCAAGGATCGCACTTTTGCCATTAGCATGGCTGACCTCATTGGCCCTTGTGGCCCTCGTTGACCCTTGTTGACCATCGTTGACCCTTGTTGATCTGCACCAGCCCAAGCAGATCCGAGTACCTTAATGCACCACATCTCACCACATCTCACCACATCTCACCGCACATCATCCTGTACTCTTTCAGACTCCAAGGACCGCACGGGGGGTTTCACATGGCGTGTGTGTTCTTGCCAAGAGCGTGGTTGACCTGCACCAGCCCAAGTGGACCAGGCTGTGTACCTGAATACACCCCATCTCATCTCACCGCATCTCACCGCATTTCACCGCACCTCACCGCACATCACCCTCTACCCTTTCAGTCTCCAAGGATCGCACGGGCGGGTTCACATGGCGTGTTCTTGCCAAGAGTGTGGTTGACCTGCACCAGCCTGTGTACCTAAATACACCGCATCTCATCTCACTACATCTCACTGCATCTCACCGCACATCACCCTGTACTCTTTCAGACTCCAAGGACCGCACAGGCGGGTTCACATGGCGCGTTCTTGCCAAGAGCGTGGTTGACCTGCACCAACCCAAGTGGACTTGCTTGAATGGTGAGATGCATTATCACTCTGCACCGCACTGCACTGCAATGTACCGCATGTCACTCACTGCACCCCACTACACTACACCAGCGTTGCCAAGAGCGTGGTTGACCTGCACCAGCCCAAGTGGACTTGCTTGAATGGTGAGATTCACAACCACACTTCACCGCACTGCACAGCACTGCACTACACTGCACCAACCCAAGTGCAGAACCGCTCTGTGCTTCACTATAACGTCTTTCACCACACTGCACCAGCCCTAGTGGAGCGAGTGCACAAATGGTTGGCGGGACTCGTAACCGCTGTACACTATATCGCAACGCACCATTTATAATGCCTCAGAACCTGACTCCCTCTATGTTCGCACGCTCCCTTGCACGTCGTAATCTCTTCTGCCTTCTGACTCTCCATTCCGTATCCACCCCCTCTCTCCCTCTCTTCCACACACAACCTATTCCCCCCCCCCAAGGTCTTCCTAAGAGTGACCAATGGAAGTGCTTTTTTCCGCAGTACACTCTTTCGAGTGTTAGCAGCCCTATATTCATTTTCCAGAATCTCTTCGATGGAGTGGCATCTCAAATCGGCGGGTTGTTACCGTGGAACTACACTCACAACGTCAAGTGTTTGGGTGAAATACTGAGTATGGGTAAGGGCCTTACACCAATGATTGAGAGAAAAGGATGGAGCAATATGGTTTGGAAGTCGAATCACTGCACTCCTATGGAGCGGACTGCCTTATTTACAGCTGCTTCGATAATATACGAGGAGCTTGATAGAGCAGTGGGAAGTGTAGGCACAATAGCTGCTTATGTTCCAACAGGAACGTGGCATGGAGCGATTTTCATGAACTCGTGGATACAACCATGGGTCCGAGGAGCAACGTTAGAAAACTCAGTGGTGGAGTGGTTTGCTGATGTTTTGGTTGAAAGATTTATACACATGTAATGTGTTAAACAAGTTATCATTCTGTTGTCAAGCCAAATCTTATACCTTAAGAAGCTAATTGTCTGTGCGGCCATTTTTATACTGTAGTCATCTCTAATTCCCATTCAGCTGAATTCCAATCGAGCATTTCCAGCGACGCCCCAAAGTATAAGCTAGGTACCTTTCGGCTCGCTCACACCCACATTTGCTAGTATCTCTGTATCTCACGTCTGAGTTATGCTGTATCTCTGTATCGAGTTATCTTGTACCTTGGAATACGGAGTCCGTATTACGGACCCCATTGCTACATGTCTTCTCTTCTCCCAAGTCTTCTAGCCGTCTCCTCCACAGCAGCTCCGAGTCAAGTGTCGCGCGCAACTCGCCCGCGCGTCGTTGTAGCTACGTTGAACTCTTCCCGCCAGCGTCGCGCCGAGCTACCCGTGTCGCGCAGAGGCAATTCTAGCTCAGCACTCCCATTTCCCTGGACTTTTTTCCACATAGGTTTTCCGACGTGGAGCCAGGCTAGTGGTAGTGCGGTCCGAAGGTCACGCGACTCGATCTGACGTGGGTCCGTGCCTCTGTGCCTCCGAGGCATCCTTTAACGGGGATAAGACGCCCGGTAATCTTGAGCCCTTATCTCAAAGCACCGGACTTGACGGCGTCTCCACGAAATTTGAGGCGCCGCTGGTCGGAAAGGGGAGATGCGCGGCAGCTGGTCGGAAATTTGAGGCATGCGTACCCAGAGGCGAACCAGATCCAGTTTTGCGGCGCCTCAAAAGTAGACGCCGCGGGCGGAAACGGAGATGCGCGGGAGGCATCATTCGTACACCACCAGAGGTGGACCAGATCCGCGGTACAGCTTCCGCGGACGAAACGCAGGGGGGACCCGGGGCGGAAAACCACGGCGCGGGGAAAGACTGCGCACAGTTCCCCGCTACTACCTCAACCGTGATGCACACGCCATGGCGAAGGAATCTCGGCCTTCACCCCGACTTGGGGCGAGGGAACCTCAGCTTCACCTCGAGTGAGGGAACCTCAGCTTACCGACTTCTGCTTTACTACTTCAACACGGTCGTATGGCAGCACCTGTCAATTAACTTCCCCGACTTGTAACCTCTTCCTTCGGACCAGTGGGATCGCACACGTCGCACACGTCGCGTGACGTTCTTTCCCGCCGTACGGCTACAATGGCTCGCCTCGTCACTCTCCGCGTTTCCCTCGTGGCCTCCGCCGCGGCGCTTCTGCTCCTCGCAACCGCCGCCCTGCCGGCGGCGCTCGCGGCGGGCAATTCCGCCGCGTCGATCTCCGCGGATTCGACTGACGTGATGGCGGCTTCCGCGAGCCGTCGGGTTCTGCAAGCCGCGCCCGCAGCGGCACCCGCGCCCGCGTCCGACGCACCACCATCGTCGGCGGCGCCGTCGTCCGACGCGCCGTCTTCCCCGGAGGCGTCTCCAACTCAGCGGATGCATCTCGCGTCCAACATTAAAGCCAGCGACGTGTCCAAATCCATAAACCTCCTCAACTACCTCGCGTACACGGCGTGCCAGTTCCCAACCGGGAAAACCATGTTCCTCCCGTCCAACAACGCGTGGAGGGACGCGTTCGAGGGGTACAAGAAGAGCCGCATCAGCGGCGGGCTGTATGACGCACTCGACGTGGTCGCGAACAGCGATAAGCTCAAGAATCCGGATAATAAGGACCGGCTTACGGATTACTCCTCGCTGCTTGACAAGTCAAAGGGATGCAAGTCGATTATTCTCGGCGGGCCGATCAGCGAGGCCGGGAGGACTGCGCTTTATAATCTGCTGACTTTCCACACGGCCGATTTTACGATCAAGACAGAGGATCTGGACCGCAAGGTACGACGCATGCGCGTGCTGACTTTTGAGTCAGCCTGCTGACGTTCCACACGACCGATTTTCCAATTAAGACGAACTCTGTTGGCTTTCTGTCTGCTGCTAACGCCACTAGCACATCTGTGCGCTACGCTATGCCTTGCCCCCTACTCCTACCTGGCTCATTTCTTTCGCGCGCTACCTTGCTTCTCTCCCCCTCCCCGCGCTAATCACGCTGGCATGGCAGTGCGACGCCACTGGCTACACCTTCAAGACCCTGTTCAACGGCCAGAATGTCAACTTCAAGTGCGACAGCAACAGCAACGGGCTCATTTCCGGCTCGGACCCCCTCGCATCCAACCCGGCTGCTGGCACCCCGTCTGCTGTCGCGAAGATTGACGATAAGGCGGGCGATTTCTTTTACGTCGACAATATTGTGTTCCCCAGCGACATGGCCTCGCTGCCTGGTACGCGTTTTTTTTCTTTTGCAACAAGGTTTTGGATTCGAATCAGTGAGCAACTGGCTCTCAGCAAGGGTCTTTTGCCTTAATTTTTTTATTGCCTGGTTTTCTCCTGTTACGAATTCGGATATGGGTCATGCCTTTCCCTGCATGGTGCCACACTGCATCATGCGTGCAGCCATACATCCAAGTGGCCAGCTTTCCAGATTTGGTTCCTCTCCTTTCTCCTTTGAGAATTCTCAAAAGCTTTCCCTGCATGGTGCCACACTGCATCATGCGTGCAGCCATACGTCCAAGTGGCCAGCTTTCCAGATTTGGTTCCTCTCCTTTCTCCTTTGAGAATTCTCAAAAGCTTTCCCTGCATGGTGCCACACTGCATCATGCGTGCAGCCATACGTCCAAGTGGCCAGCTTTCCAGATTTGGTTCCTCTCCTTTCTCCTTTGAGAATTCTCAAAAGCTTTCCCTGCATGGTGCCACACTGCATCATGCGTGCAGCCATACGTCCAAGTGGCCAGCTTTCCAGATTTGGTTCCTCTCCTTTCTCCTTTGAGAATTCTCAAAAGCTTTCCCTGCATGGTGCCACACTGCATCATGCGTGCAGCCATACGTCCAAGTGGCCAGCTTTCCAGATTTGGTTCCTCTCCTTTCTCCTTTGAGAATTCTCAAAAGCTTTCCCTGCATGGTGCCACACTGCATCATGCGTGCAGCCATACGTCCAAGTGGCCAGCTTTCCAGATTTGGTTCCTCTCCTTTCTCCTTTGAGAATTCTCAAAAGCTTTCCCTGCATGGTGCCACACTGCATCATGCGTGCAGCCATACGTCCAAGTGGCCAGCTTTCCAGATTTGGTTCCTCTCCTTTCTCCTTTGAGAATTCTCAAAAGCTTTCCCTGCATGGTGCCACACTGCATCATGCGTGCAGCCATACATCCAAGTGGCCAGCTTTCCAGATTTGGTTCCTCTCCTTTCTCCTTTGAGAATTCTCAAAAGCTTTCCCTGCATGGTGCCACACTGCATCATGCGTGCAGCCATACATCCAAGTGGCCAGCTTTCCAGATTTGGTTCCTCTCCTTTCTCCTTTGAGAATTCTCAAAAGCTTTCCCTGCATGGTGCCACACTGCATCATGCGTGCAGCCATACATCCAAGTGGCCAGCTTTCCAGATTTGGTTCCTCTCCTTTCTCCTTTGAGAATTCTCAAAAGCTTTCCCTGCATGGTGCCACACTGCATCATGCGTGCAGCCATACATCCAAGTGGCCAGCTTTCCAGATTTGGTTCCTCTCCTTTCTCCTTTGAGAATTCTCAAAAGCTTTCCCTGCATGGTGCCACACTGCATCATGCGTGCAGCCATACATCCAAGTGGCCAGCTTTCCAGATTTGGTTCCTCTCCTTTCTCCTTTGAGAATTCTCAAAAGCTTTCCCTGCATGGTGCCACACTGCATCATGCGTGCAGCCATACATCCAAGTGGCCAGCTTTCCAGATTTGGTTCCTCTCCTTTCTCCTTTGAGAATTCTCAAAAGCTTTCCCTGCATGGTGCCACACTGCATCATGCGTGCAGCCATACATCCAAGTGGCCAGCTTTCCAGATTTGGTTCCTCTCCTTTCTCCTTTGAGAATTCTCAAAAGCTTTCCCTGCATGGTGCCACACTGCATCATGCGTGCAGCCATACATCCAAGTGGCCAGCTTTCCAGATTTGGTTCCTCTCCTTTCTCCTTTGAGAATTCTCAAAAGCTTTCCCTGCATGGTGCCACACTGCATCATGCGTGCAGCCATACATCCAAGTGGCCAGCTTTCCAGATTTGGTTCCTCTCCTTTCTCCTTTGAGAATTCTCAAAAGCTTTCCCTGCATGGTGCCACACTGCATCATGCGTGCAGCCATACATCCAAGTGGCCAGCTTTCCAGATTTGGTTCCTCTCCTTTCTCCTTTGAGAATTCTCAAAAGCTTTCCCTGCATGGTGCCACACTGCATCATGCGTGCAGCCATACATCCAAGTGGCCAGCTTTCCAGATTTGGTTCCTCTCCTTTCTCCTTTGAGAATTCTCAAAAGCTTTCCCTGCATGGTGCCACACTGCATCATGCGTGCAGCCATACATCCAAGTGGCCAGCTTTCCAGATTTGGTTCCTCTCCTTTCTCCTTTGAGAATTCTCAAAAGCTTTCCCTGCATGGTGCCACACTGCATCATGCGTGCAGCCATACATCCAAGTGGCCAGCTTTCCAGATTTGGTTCCTCTCCTTTCTCCTTTGAGAATTCTCAAAAGCTTTCCCTGCATGGTGCCACACTGCATCATGCGTGCAGCCATACATCCAAGTGGCCAGCTTTCCAGATTTGGTTCCTCTCCTTTCTCCTTTGAGAATTCTCAAAAGCTTTCCCTGCATGGTGCCACACTGCATCATGCGTGCAGCCATACATCCAAGTGGCCAGCTTTCCAGATTTGGTTCCTCTCCTTTCTCCTTTGAGAATTCTCAAAAGCTTTCCCTGCATGGTGCCACACTGCATCATGCGTGCAGCCATACATCCAAGTGGCCAGCTTTCCAGATTTGGTTCCTCTCCTTTCTCCTTTGAGAATTCTCAAAAGCTTTCCCTGCATGGTGCCACACTGCATCATGCGTGCAGCCATACATCCAAGTGGCCAGCTTTCCAGATTTGGTTCCTCTCCTTTCTCCTTTGAGAATTCTCAAAAGCTTTCCCTGCATGGTGCCACACTGCATCATGCGTGCAGCCATACATCCAAGTGGCCAGCTTTCCAGATTTGGTTCCTCTCCTTTCTCCTTTGAGAATTCTCAAAAGCTTTCCCTGCATGGTGCCACACTGCATCATGCGTGCAGCCATACATCCAAGTGGCCAGCTTTCCAGATTTGGTTCCTCTCCTTTCTCCTTTGAGAATTCTCAAAAGCTTTCCCTGCATGGTGCCACACTGCATCATGCGTGCAGCCATACATCCAAGTGGCCAGCTTTCCAGATTTGGTTCCTCTCCTTTCTCCTTTGAGAATTCTCAAAAGCTTTCCCTGCATGGTGCCACACTGCATCATGCGTGCAGCCATACGTCCAAGTGGCCAGCTTTCCAGATTTGGTTCCTCTCCTTTCTCCTTTGAGAATTCTCAAAAGCTTTCCCTGCATGGTGCCACACTGCATCATGCGTGCAGCCATACGTCCAAGTGGCCAGCTTTCCAGATTTGGTTCCTCTCCTTTCTCCTTTGAGAATTCTCAAAAGCTTTCCCTGCATGGTGCCACACTGCATCATGCGTGCAGCCATACGTCCAAGTGGCCAGCTTTCCAGATTTGGTTCCTCTCCTTTCTCCTTTGAGAATTCTCAAAAGCTTTCCCTGCATGGTGCCACACTGCATCATGCGTGCAGCCATACGTCCAAGTGGCCAGCTTTCCAGATTTGGTTCCTCTCCTTTCTCCTTTGAGAATTCTCAAAAGCTTTCCCTGCATGGTGCCACACTGCATCATGCGTGCAGCCATACGTCCAAGTGGCCAGCTTTCCAGATTTGGTTCCTCTCCTTTCTCCTTTGAGAATTCTCAAAAGCTTTCCCTGCATGGTGCCACACTGCATCATGCGTGCAGCCATACATCCAAGTGGCCAGCTTTCCAGATTTGGTTCCTCTCCTTTCTCCTTTGAGAATTCTCAAAAGCTTTCCCTGCATGGTGCCACACTGCATCATGCGTGCAGCCATACATCCAAGTGGCCAGCTTTCCAGATTTGGTTCCTCTCCTTTCTCCTTTGAGAATTCTCAAAAGCTTTCCCTGCATGGTGCCACACTGCATCATGCGTGCAGCCATACATCCAAGTGGCCAGCTTTCCAGATTTGGTTCCTCTCCTTTCTCCTTTGAGAATTCTCAAAAGCTTTCCCTGCATGGTGCCACACTGCATCATGCGTGCAGCCATACATCCAAGTGGCCAGCTTTCCAGATTTGGTTCCTCTCCTTTCTCCTTTGAGAATTCTCAAAAGCTTTCCCTGCATGGTGCCACACTGCATCATGCGTGCAGCCATACATCCAAGTGGCCAGCTTTCCAGATTTGGTTCCTCTCCTTTCTCCTTTGAGAATTCTCAAAAGCTTTCCCTGCATGGTGCCACACTGCATCATGCGTGCAGCCATACATCCAAGTGGCCAGCTTTCCAGATTTGGTTCCTCTCCTTTCTCCTTTGAGAATTCTCAAAAGCTTTCCCTGCATGGTGCCACACTGCATCATGCGTGCAGCCATACATCCAAGTGGCCAGCTTTCCAGATTTGGTTCCTCTCCTTTCTCCTTTGAGAATTCTCAAAAGCTTTCCCTGCATGGTGCCACACTGCATCATGCGTGCAGCCATACATCCAAGTGGCCAGCTTTCCAGATTTGGTTCCTCTCCTTTCTCCTTTGAGAATTCTCAAAAGCTTTCCCTGCATGGTGCCACACTGCATCATGCGTGCAGCCATACATCCAAGTGGCCAGCTTTCCAGATTTGGTTCCTCTCCTTTCTCCTTTGAGAATTCTCAAAAGCTTTCCCTGCATGGTGCCACACTGCATCATGCGTGCAGCCATACATCCAAGTGGCCAGCTTTCCAGATTTGGTTCCTCTCCTTTCTCCTTTGAGAATTCTCAAAAGCTTTCCCTGCATGGTGCCACACTGCATCATGCGTGCAGCCATACATCCAAGTGGCCAGCTTTCCAGATTTGGTTCCTCTCCTTTCTCCTTTGAGAATTCTCAAAAGCTTTCCCTGCATGGTGCCACACTGCATCATGCGTGCAGCCATACATCCAAGTGGCCAGCTTTCCAGATTTGGTTCCTCTCCTTTCTCCTTTGAGAATTCTCAAAAGCTTTCCCTGCATGGTGCCACACTGCATCATGCGTGCAGCCATACATCCAAGTGGCCAGCTTTCCAGATTTGGTTCCTCTCCTTTCTCCTTTGAGAATTCTCAAAAGCTTTCCCTGCATGGTGCCACACTGCATCATGCGTGCAGCCATACATCCAAGTGGCCAGCTTTCCAGATTTGGTTCCTCTCCTTTCTCCTTTGAGAATTCTCAAAAGCTTTCCCTGCATGGTGCCACACTGCATCATGCGTGCAGCCATACATCCAAGTGGCCAGCTTTCCAGATTTGGT